CAGAGGTTTTACTCGGTTGTGCCGCTCCATTTTTTGCTTTAATATAAATCTTTTTCTGATAGTACTTTTGGCAACTGTAACCCAACTAACATTGATTTAGCATAAATTTGGTGAGTAGAGAACTGGTATCTAATTAGGTGGTTTGGAACTGTCTGGTCAAGAGGGCAAACCCTCTTGGTTGAGCATATTCGCTTTAAATCATATTAATATTTTGGTTCTTACTGACAGTAGTTTGAAATTGTAATCCTGTTACCAATTTGTTCTCAAAGGTATCTTTAGGACAAATCCTGTATGAGCAGTTGTTTAGTTGTTATACCCGACTAACTGTTTATTGTTTTAGTTTTAATGGATATTCTGTTAGAATAGTTTCTCTTGAAAGTACTTGAATTTTTCTCCTTTTTTCAGGCTGGTGAAGAGAAGGCTGCCGCGTAAGTTTAAGTTTTTGTTAAAATACGTTTTACAAGCAGTAAACTTTATTCTTCTAATCGAAGGATTTTTATGATAGTATTTAATTTTGTAGAAGATACTTTTGTTGTTAATGTTTAGCATTTTTGCTCAGAAAGATTCTAATATAGTCTTATTTTTGGTTTATGGAAGGCAGTTTTTAGTCTGATTATACAAATTGAATAATGAAAAGAATTTAGAAAGACTGAGATGAATGAGCTTTTTTCTTTTTTTTTTTTTTAAATTTTTTGCGATATGAGTTTTTAACTACAAATAATCATTAAAACATTGCGCAGTTTATTGGGAGTTCTTTTTTTATTATTTGTTCCAAACGTTGGTTTAAGTTTGCGGGAATTAAAAAGGAATGCTTATTACACTTGTATGAGTGCAGGAAAACGGATTTTTTAGAGGCTTATTTTTCTTTTTTTCGTTTTGGTTTTTTATCTTCTTTTTGGGGTTATTTATTTTTTATTGTTCTACTTCAAACGAGATTCAGTTTACTAAGTATTTTGATTACTACAGTCCCCCTTCAAGTGAGGAAGTGTTAGGTCCTGCTGCTAATGAGCCTTATTATTATGGCAAAATAACGCGAAGTGATGCGGACACTCAGTTGAATGATCGAGGCGAGGAAGGTGATTTCTTGCTTAGAGATAGCGAAAGTAATGTAAGTTTTTTTATGCATTTAATGTTGAAAACTTCTCTATTTAGGTTCTACTTGTGATATATTGTTTCTCTAATAAAGGTAATTGTTAACTATCTAGTATAATGATTACTGTGGTTTAGGAGGTTTGAGAGGCTTGTCAGTAGTGTTGAGGGGAATCATGGAAGTTGGGTATAGGAAAAGCGAGGGGAAGATGGATACCAAATTTTGTTTTTCTCTCTTGTTGTGTTGTCATATTTATGGCTGATATGTTCAGGCAGGTGGTAATTAAACTTAAACATTTTGTAACAGGTTGGCGAATTCTCGATCTCGCTGAAATCAAAAGAGCGAAACAAGCATTTTTTGATTAAAGTGGACCAGGCAGAGAAAAGTTTCAAAATTGGATCGCGTACGTTCCAAACAATGGATGCGCTTATTAAACACTATACGTCTAATCCGATCTACACGAACGAGCCGACCAATGAACGCCTTTTCCTTACTCGAGCATTGCCAAAATAAATTTGCTCACATACACAGACACTAAGATGATTAATGTATGAAAATGGTGCTGCTGCTATGAAGTGACTGTGCTTGTTACAAGGCCTCCTTTTCTTGTTTTTCTTTTCTCTTATAGCTAAAATTACAGTCGTCAATTATTCTGCAAGGGCATCAAAAAATATTAAAAAAAAAAAAA